AGCTACGAGATCTGTAATGCCCTCAATAGGGGCCATACGGCCTGATAGAACGACACTAATAACAGCTTCGTCGGCGCCGGTGTAAGCGGCGACTAAGAAGGCCCAGGCGGACCGCAGCACTGTAGATATTGTTGCAGCGCCTGCTCGCGGGACTTGAATCTGGTGGTGCAGCACATCCCGTGGTTTAACCTGGTGCTGTAAGGATGGCAAAGGCGGGAAGCGAGCCCACGAAGTGCCTTGGAGATGTTTCTGCCAGAACTGTGTCGTTTCTTTCTGGCTCAACGAAGCCAAATACGCAATGAAGCGCGAGACAGGGACAGGATTTGGAAGAGCTTCTCGTCCTAAAAGTCTTGCAAGCAGTTCCATCGTTTTAGCAGCGCTCCAGCCGTCATAAACGCTATGATGCGCCGTCCATACAAGGTAGCGCTGCTCTCCATTTCCGCTATGCGAGATTGCTATACGATTAAGTGCGTGCCCGTAGGTCATACGCGTAGCTCGATCCTGCGCAAGATAGTCGTCGAGCGAAATTCCTTGTTTCCATACAAGCTGCTCTTTAATAACGACCTGTAGCGCATCGGCCTGCGCTGAAGGGACAATACGTGTACGTAGGATAGGCAAGATCTCAGCTAGATGTGTCCAGGCTGACTTTAGGTGCTCGGTAGATAGACCGGCCTGGAGCCGGAAGATGCGCTGAACAACATATGCCTCAGGACGCTGTGCAGTAATGGCCATCAGTCCGGCCTGAAGTGGGCTGCACGGGTAGATGTCCTCGATGCAATTGGCAGGTACGTCACAATGCGCTGCAACGTCGGCTTTTAGACGTGCTTGATCCACATCTTCAGCTTGAGTCATCTCTGGCCATAGGCTAAAGGGCGTTGGATTCCAGGCCGCAGCTTTAGGCTTATAGGAGTCTTTCTGCTCCATAGCGGCTGCGACGTCTGTAAGACAGGGCCAGCGGAAGATGTCAGCTACAGATAAAGGTATCTGCTGGGCACGGGCTTTAGCCGATAGCTTCATAGCCGCTACGGAGTCTCCGCCTAGTCTGAAGAACGAATCGTTGGCGCCTATGGATTCAATGGGAACTGCTAACAACGTAGCCCACAAGCTCCGCAGCTGGCGTTCCATCTCAGTCGTAGGAGCCTGCTTAATGGCGGGCGAGGTAGCAAAGCAGTTCAGAACAGTACGTGGTAGTAGGCGTAGCTGATCTCGGACGGCGCGGCGGTCCAGCTTGTTAGACGCATTCACCGGAAGCCTAGGGACTAGTAAGAACGCCCCAGGTACCATGTAGGCCGGTAATACCTGGCTAAGCTCGGAGTCCAGCCGTTCCAAAGCTGTACGTGCAGCGGCAGTAATCTGTGAAGGTTCATATGGCTGTAACTCTCCGCCGTCCGGGTAGGGTCCAGCATCGGCATACTCGATGACAGCCGTAAGCATAAGTGCTCCCTCTTGGGTCTCGCCTGCAGGAAGAACCACATCGACGACAGTCTCGCACACTTCAGGTAGCAGACGAAGAATCTGACTCTCGATCTCACCAATCTCTACGCGCTGGCCACGGATCTTAACTTGCGTGTCACGACGACCTAAATAGGTAAGCGACCCATCCGCATTTTGCTGAACTATGTCTCCGGTCCGATACATGCGCCGGCTAGGACAAAGGCCTAGCTCCTGTACAAAGACGGGGTCCGAAATAAAGGCAGCAGCTGTCTTAGTAGGGTCGTTCAAGTAGCCGCGCGAAAGAAGTGGGCCCTCGAGAAGCAGCTCGCCTGGTGCGCCTAGAGGAAGCAAGCGGTCGATGTTGTTAGGGTCGACTACCCAACCGCATCCTGCGATCGGCTTTCCTACATTTCCTGCAGTTTCCGACCGCTGAATAGGTGGACTGCAATGAAACACTATAGACGCTTCGGCAGGACCGTAGCCATTTATTACTCTTGCTCTCTTAACCCAAGGATCCACAACGCCAGCATCAACAGCCTCTCCAATGAGTACTAGAGTATTCAGCAAGGGAAGCTGTGCTGGGTCCAAGAGGCGAGCGACTGTTGGTGTAACGTTGGCATAAGTTACCCGGAAAGTGTTCATCATGTGATTCAGGTTTGACAGCCGATCGTCCTCGGAAGGAACAACGATACATCCACCGTAAGCAAGAGTTGCGACAAGGTCCGAAATACTAACATCGAATGTAAGGGCGGCAAACTGCAAAGTGCGAGTTGACGACGAGAGTCCGAAGATTGGTCCGTGGGCTAGAATGCTTGTAGCGAGGGAGCCATGCTCGAGTACCACGCCCTTCGGTTTGCCAGTGCTACCAGAAGTGTATATTACCCATGCTACGTTTTGGGGCCGCACGGACACGCAGAGCTCGTTCGACAGATTAGGCATTCCGGTCGAGGCTGCGGAGGTGTCATCGAAGAAAGCGTCGACAGGTAGCAGTGGCACGTGGACTGCTAGGCCTGTAAGCCGCTTTTCGTGACCGCGATCAACCAGTAGTAGTGGTGTAGCGGTATCTTGGACAATGACCTCCAGGCGGGCTAGCGGGTGCTGCACTCCGAGAGGGACGACGGCCCCGCCCGCGCGTAGGATAGCTAGCATCGCTACCACCGCCGACTTCGATTTGTCCATGCATA